TGCATATCCATTTGTACCACAGAGCCTGCGTGGATACGAGGATAACTCACAACCCTTCCTGGGTAGGTGATCTTCCGCTCCCGCAATATCACGTACATCTGAATCACGCCGTCGTCGTGCACACGCTCCTACACAGTCGTCAGCCACCGCATATTGCCATATGAGGCTCATGCAACTCACTGCTGCGTCCATGTTATGAGCGTCGTGACATCGATGAGGTACGGCGACGTCGGCACCGTCGTGTGGTAGACGCGCGTCGCGGTGAACGTGCCAACGGGCGTGGGCGTGCACGGCGTGGCGCGCGCTGCGAGGTCTGCGGCGGGCATCTGGAGAAATATATCAGTCAAAGACGGAAAATGCGCGGTGGGGACATGGCGATGAGGTGGAGATAAATGGAAGGTTAAGACTCACAGCGACAGCTGCACCAGCGAGGGCGAGGAGGGTGAGGAAGCGCATGACTGTCAAGCGAAGCGTGTGTAGTGCTGGAAGATTGTGTACTTGCAGGTCTGCTAAATGCTTCTGAGCCTTCCTGGCCCTTATAAGCGCCCGCTTTTCGCTCTAAGTCGTGCGTGCCACGCGCTCAGTGAGAGTCCCTGCCGATCCATACGGAGTCCTCTCTGGACTGAATGCACGGGCGGCAGCATCATACGCGTTGGTCGATCATCGATCAACTCCCGGTAGGTAAAAGTCGCTGCGTCCCTGAACCCGGCGGTTTGACTCTGGGCCTCTTGGGTCTCGTTTAGGGCGATTGTTCGCAGTGCCTGCTTTTGTGAAGGTGAAAGTGCAGGCGAGGGCGCACTCTACAGCACCGCGGTCTCCAGCGCCCTCCCCGAGAGCTCGGAGACCGTCGTGTGCCCGGGGTTTTAGGGTAGCGCCCTGCTGGACCTGCAATAGTGTGCACATACAAGAGTCGAAATTGAGTACAAACTCGAGCGCTCATGAACATCCTAGAGATACACGCACATCGGGGAGTTGAGATACAATGACTTTGCCTGCGGGACGAATGAATGCCTACAGGAGGTCTAGCACGGCGCGGTGCCTCACAACTCCGTGCCACAAACCGCTTCACACCATATACCGTCTCACCACCCCATCGTCCCCGCCCGCCCACAATTCGCCCGCTCGCCAGCTCAGGCAACGCACGGCATCGCAGTCGGCGCCGATCAGCTCGCGCTCGACGGTTGGGTCTTCGCTGCGCGAGCCCGCAGCTATATTGAGAGACGCGATGAAAGGCAGCCCGTCCGCCGTCGCCACCGCCAGCCGTCCATCGTCCAAGAACACCAGCGACTCCACCGCCGCGCCCTCCCCCTCATTTCTGGCAAACTCGGCGAGTGGCACGTCTGGCCGCCGCCGGTCGTACAATGCGACCACCCCACGGGATGAGCCCATGGCGAAGACATGGCCGTGTGCGGCGATGGCGCTGCCGGCGCCGAAGGCGTTGGGACGCGGGGTGGTGAAGCCAGCGCTTGAAGAAGAGTTTGATGGATCCCCTGTTGCTTCAGCGGCACGCAGGTCGATGAGTTGCGCGCGGCCGTCTGCGAGTGCTACAAGCGCCTCTGTATTATTGCTCGCGCTTGCGAGCGCGGCCACGCCGGTGGCGGCAATATGCATGCCGGCCTGCTCGCCTGCCTCCACGTCCCACACCCGCACCGTGCCATCCATGCTGGCGGAGAGCGCGCCTGTGGGGCCAAGCGGGCGCGCACCCGTGACGGCGCGGGCGTGTCCGGTGAGCGTGCGGGTGGGCGTGAGGGGAGTGGGTCGAGATGTTGATGATCCTGCGGGTTGAGAAGTCGAAGATCTCAGCGCAGCTCCTGTAGGGTGGACATGCAGCGTAAAGTCCCCGCCGGAAGAGAGGATGGCGCGAGAGGAGGCGAAGTAGGAGATGACGGCGACGGTGCTTTTGTGCGCGCGGGATACCTGCTTCGGCGGGGTGTTGTAGGAAGGGGAGTCATAGGGCCGGAAGGGTGGAGAGGTGGGTGGTTGGGTGAGGCTGGGAGGTAGTTTAGCAGGAATGGGCGCGTTGGCTTGCGCGTACGCACCCCTCAGCAGATACGGGGTAGAGGTGAATGGATCCGTCGAGGAAGCCGGTGGCAAAGGTGCTGCCGTCGGGGGCGGCGGCAAGTGCAGTGATGCGGTGTGGCTGGGCGTATGTCAGTCTTCACTCGCTTCGCAGTCCCAGTGCTTTGCAGCCACACTGGTGTGTCTTAGCGCGCACCTTTTGCGGATTCGCGCGCTCTGGGTCCGCGTACTCCTGGCGCGGAAGCGCAAGTGATGTGGGTGGGATGTTCAGACTGGGGCATGTAGCCGAGTAGATCTGTCCATGCAGTATTAGCCATCTGTTTGCGCGGTATCACTCGATGACTACGACGAGGAATGTAGATTGGAAGTAGGGTGGGGTACGCTGGATGTGGTGGGAGGTAAAAAGATAGCCGGAAGTGCACTTGTTGGGCACAGTGATTCAGACACGGGATACCGATACGCACCCCTCGAGCATCCTTCTCCAACTTCACATCTCCCTCGACAGTGTTGAATCGCACGAGACTTCGGTCATGCGCGTCGAGCGTGACATCGATCTTTGCGTGTATGGATTTCTTCTGTATTTGCGGGGTGGACTGAGGTGTTCAGTGATCGGACGCGTTTGCTTTCCTTCAGTAAGTACTCACAGACGCCCCATTTGTCTGACCGTTCGTCTGTTCGGCGGCATAGCGACGCGTGTAGCAGGATACCCAGATCTTCTCATTCGGGATCATCCCATCATCTACCTCGCGAACGACGTCGGGGAAGGAGGGCTGCGCGGTGACAATGGGGAGGTAGGTGCGAAGGGAGGTCATCGTGTGTAACTGGAAAGGGGGGATGCCTTGCAATAGAGGGACCAGGGGAGCAAGTCTCCGGATACGGGGCAATGCTTGTTGAGTAGGTATAGGGTACAGCAGGCGCAGGAGAGCAACAGGAGAGCGCGGCACTCAGCACTGGGGAGAGAACGCGTCATCTCAGACGCGCCGTGATCGATGTGGCGCGTGCCTCGGGCCGAGTCCCGACTCGTCACCTGCTCTCAACGACCATGTTCAACTTCGACTCAACTTGAGTACGCCGCTCGCTAACCCATGGCACTCAACCTCGCTGCTCTGACCAGCTCCCGAGTATTGCTCATGCCATTCCATTCTGTATCCCCGTGGCCCAGTTGGCGAAGTGTGCCCAGTCCCCGCTTGTGGCTCTTAACATCCCTGGCGGCTCTCGAAAGTCGTCATGACTCTGGAAAGCTACCACAAGGCGTATCTATCGACGACATCAATGGAAACTTGCAAGATCTGCATGCGTCGGAAGCTCTGGCGCAAGGTCCGGGGCTCTTGCTAGGTCCAGGGCGCCGTGCTATAACCTCGGATGGTTCACGTTTGACGATGCCACAACTTAGCTTGCAGGCTTGTTGCAGGCATGTATACGCAACGTCGTACGGCGGCGGGCTTAGCTCGGATGTGATGCGATCCTACTCAGCCCTTGCCACTGCCGAGGGCCGAGGACTCAGCGATGATCCTGTTAGGAACCTATACTTCCACGTTTGCGCAGTGCTGACTACCACTTGTCCGCTTGACTACTTGAAATAACACGACGCTGACTGGTCATCGTAGGAAGGCTTTGTGCTGACTGGCCGACCCGTCAGAGCGTCGAGTCGCGCCACGTATCGGTAAGTAAGTACTGTTTCAATGGACTCAGTCAGCGCGGAATACGCTCGGTGGCCAGTCAATAGGATTAATGACGGCACTATCCAGACGAGACAGAAGAGGCTTCCGACGCGAGGACTACCAGATTAAATAAACAACAGTCTCGGGACACAAGGATTACCGGACCCAGGAACGTTGCGGTCGACCTAAGTATCGCCCTGACAGCAGTGACGCCGCTGAGAGCTGCTATTGACCGAGCGTGCTCTGTCACCTACGAGGGGCGATTGACCGAGGTTCTGTTGACCGTACATTGCTAGTTCGCGCTGGTGCGACTGCGACACCAGCTGCTTCGAGGTACCGCTGATATCAGCTGCTTCGCGGTACCACCTGCCCTCGAGATAGCAGCTACTTCAATGCCAACTGCTTTGGCATGACGCTACCGCGCGCTCATACAGTAATCCCTGTGCGGTTGAATAGCGGCTCTACGTGCTGCACGGTACGTGCTTATAAGGGCGCTGGGGAGCAGTCAAAGGCGCCAAGTCAACAGAGAATTCACCGAGGACATATAGTCCGACGTCTCTAGCCTCCCTTCGGAACCTCATACCAACATGCGCTTCCTCGCCCTCCTTGCCCTCGCTGGTCTCGCTATCGCTGTGAGTAATTGGCCATCTCTCTGTCGACTTCTACATCGACTCCCTCTCAAACTTACCATCTTTATCATACTCTCAGATACCCACTCCGTCCGCCGACCCTACGCCCTACCTCAGCCCTCCCTCCAACCCACACCCATCACATTCCGCTCCCTGCACGCCTACGCCTGTCGGCACCTTCACTGCGCCGCGCATCTACAACACATTCGTGTCCGAGTCGCCATACTTGGTGGAAAGGACGACGCTGGTGACGTGGACGCAGGTGTGAGTGATTGCTAGACTGCTTTTTTCAAGTATTATGCGGGGGCGAGGGAAGGGTTTTGTGGTAGAGGTGGCGGGCGGCGTGGTTGAACGGAGTCTGCAAAGATGATAGAGTAAGACGAGTGCTGATCGCTGTGCAGGAGCTTGTGTACGGCGGCGGAGTGAAGCGGGCCGTGTGGGGTGACAGGAAGCGGTCTGCGTCGCACACGGAGGCCGCCCATGCACCAGCTTCATTGTCTTCGGGCAACTTGGATGATCTGTACTTACATTCCGGTCAACGCGTCGAACTTCGGTTGAACGAGTATCTTAGTAAAAACGTTTCGGACCATGCGCTGGAATCCCGAAAGATCAGGGCGCGGGCGGCCATATGGAAAATGAGAAGAAAGATATGCAGTATCGAGCTGCAAAAAAAGTCTGGTACTGGGATGAATGACGAGAGTGGGATTCGAACCCACGCCCCGGAGGACTAGATGATGTCATTAGTGAGAAGCACTAATAACCTGATTCTAGCGCCTTAGACCGCTCGGCCATCTCGCCATAACACAATTCTGAGCTGAAGGTATTAAGAGTTATCACACATGAGAGGACGAGAAGGAGGCTAGCGGGGATACAGACGATAGTATAGCAGCCATGGTGCTGGACAGTGAAGTGAGTCACCCTCGAGTCAATAGTTGGTCGTATGCAGTTGGTTCGGAACGGGATACATAGCAAGTTGAAGGATCGGTAATGCTAAGGCGCCGCCCAAGTGTACGTGATCTGTACATATGAACAGATATATAGCACACAGTCTACGTATACGTACATCTCAGCTGCTTGCTTCGTACTCATACAATCAGTCGGTCATTATCTTCGTCACTTTCTCTTCCATTATCTCGCGCTCCGTCCACGTACGTCGAGTCATCTCCTTCCCTTTCGTTGCCCTCACTCATCTCTCAGCGCCGCTCACTTGCCCGACAGCACCTTCATATGCACGCTCTTCGGGCGCGTGACCTGATCGTAGCCTAGGAAGGAGGTGATATGTGAGCGATAGCACGGGCAAAGTGAGCGAGAAAGCAGACAACTCACCCAACTTACTCAAACTAACACCCCGCCCCGAGTCCTTCACGCCCACCCAGGCGAGCGCGGGGTCGAGGAAGTCGGCACTGGAAAAAGGGCGGATTAGCTTCCGTGTTCAACCCTCCTCGAGCGCCCGCCTGCAATAGGCCACCAGAGTGACCTCCTGCAGCGGCACCCTGTCGATGCTAAACTAAACTCACCGGTTCATAAACACCGTCCCCGCCTCCACCATCGGCTCCAGCGCCGCGAACGCGTCCGCATCGTTCGTCCATATAGAGGCCGTGAGGCCATACCTGCTGTCGTTCATGGCCTTGATCGCCTCCGCATCGTCAGCGACCTCGAGAATGGGCACGACGGGGCCGAAGGTTTCTTCCTGTGGTTGAAGACATTTGTTCATTGCTTGTCCTGGTCATGGAGCACCGATGTCATGGAGCGCCGTCGTCATGCGATTGCGAAGAGCACTACGACGGCGTCCGTCGAGTAAAAAACCACGTGAACAACCCTCACCTTGACCACCTCCATCTCCGCGGTGCACCCCACCAGCACCTGTGGCGCCACGTACGCGGAGTTCGGATCGTCCGCCGCGGGAAAGAGGGAGGCGGGGATGAGGGCGGTGGCGCCGGAGGCAACTGGTAGGAAGGTGAACGTTAGCATTTTTGGATTCAGTAGATCGGATGTGAGGGCGGGTTTTTTGAAAAGAGGTCGGTGAACAGAGAGGGGAAAAGCAAAGATGAATGGGGGTGTCAGACTCACCTGCCTCCGCAACCTGCGCTTCAATACGCTTCTTGGCCGCGTTGCTGATGACGGGGCCGAGGTTGACTGCGTGAATATGGTCAGTACGCAGTAGCAGCAGAGAATAAGCAGTAGTAACGAAGAATAAGCAGTAGCAACGGAGAATAAGCAGTAGCAACGGAGAATCAGCAGCAGAAGCCGAGACGCCTGATGCTTGTCCAGTCGTCAGACTCACCTCCTTCCGCCATCGGGTCCCCCAGCTTATACTCCTTCTTTACAAAGTCGGCAAACTTGGCGACAAAGGCGGGATAGAGGGAGGTGTGAACGTAGATGCGCTGGTAGGGGGTCAGTTTCTCTTCCGTTCTCGTTGTAGGTAGAAAGACGAAAGGTTGAGGCTTTTTGTGTGAAGGGGAAGGACGTGGAAATCGATGAAGGACGGGGCAAGGGTGAGCGGTCAGGGACAAATAACTTGGGAAGGGACAAGTATATTGGGAAGGAACAAATAACTTGGGAAGGAACAAGAACTGGAGAAACACACCTCCACCCCACAGCAGCTCTGGCCCGAGTTGTACATCGCGCCGTCGACAAGCTCCGGGACCACATAGTCGAGGTCAGCGTCAGCTCGCACGTACGCCGGGTCCTTCCCCCCGAGCTCGAGCGCGGTGTGTTTGATGCCGATCTAGGGAGGATGGTGAGCATTCTTTGGCTTTCCTTCCTTGAGATAGGAAAAAAGTCGAATGAGCGCATTGCCCTCTCCGCAAGAGCATCATCGTCGCTGCAAGAGCAGAATCACCGATGCGCCAGGCGACAGAACCACCGATGCGCCAGGCGACAGAAGCACCGCAGGGTAGACAGCCCGTCGAGGCCTCCGAAAACTTGCTTCGGAGGATTGCGGACCGAAGAAAACCGTCACTCACCTCCCCCACATCATCCCCGTAACCCGCAGCCACCCGCGCGACGTCGCGCCCGCCTGCGACCGAGCCGGTGAAGGAGACGAAGCTGGGAGAGCGGGTCAGCTGAAGTTCTTTGCCCGATCAGGTCGGGTCGTTAGTGAGGTCTGATCGTTAGTGAGGTCTGATCGTTAGTGAGGTCTGATCGTTAGTGAGGTCTGTTCGTTAGTGAGGTCTGATCGTTAGTGATTATATGTACAGAATGGTGGTTGAGTTTTGAGCAGAAGGGAGGGTTGGCGATGGCTAAGGGGAGCGGGTAGTAACAGAGGGTAGCGAGCAGTGACAAAACAGCGTTGGAGGAGGACAACACGAGACGACGAAACGAAACGGGACAACACGAGACGAAATGGGACGGCGGGTGATATTAGCTGTTACTCACCCTACCGCCGGATGGCGCATCGCCTGCTTCACGAGGTTGGGTGTGAGGTGGAGGACCGTGAAGACGTCGGACTGGGAGACATGATCAGGTCGGTGGATGTCCTTTATTAATGACGGTACACGGCGTGTAGGACGTGGTGCACGGCCTGTACACCCCGGTGCACGGTTCGTACACCATGGTGCACGGTATGCGGACCGTGGTGCACGGTATGCGGACCACCTTCCTCCGCACTCAAACTTCCTCCGCACTCAAAGTTCCTCCACACTCAAAGTTCCTCCGCACTCAAACTTCCTCCGCACTCAAAGTTCAACCAAAAAGACAAGACTCACCAGATCCGGATTCGCCTGCGCCCAAAACGCTGCCAATCTCTCACGACGAGCGGCGTCTGCGGGGACGGCTTGAGAATGACGGCGTTGCCGGCGAGGAGGGCGGGCACGAGCGCGTTGACGGTCGTGAGGTAGGGGTAGCTGCCAGGTGTGAGTTAGTGGTGGTTGGGTTAAGGATGGAGACGTAGGTAGGAGGTAATGTGTACAGAAGCGGAGTGCCATGAGATAGAGAGAAATTGGACTGCGGCCTAGGTCTAGTGGGGTGGAGGTGACTAGATTAGACTAGATTGGAAGGTGGAATGGAGAGGACGGCGGCGAGGCAGACGGGTGAAGGGAAGCAAGCGGCGAAGGGATGACTCGTACTCACTTCCATGGCGCGATAAGCAGCACAACACCGAGAGGGACCTTTTTTATCCTCCTCTTCAACGTGAAGCCGTTACCTTGCGCCTCGTCGATGGGCATGTCGGCGAGGCATTCGGCCGCGACGCTCGCGAGATAGCGCGCCCTGCCCAAGAACCCATTGAACTCGCCCGCATTCTGCTTAAGCGGCCTGCCCATCTGGGCAGTCAGCTCGCGCGCGAGCTCGTCTTTGTCGGCAGCCTCAAACACAGCGAGGAAGCGGTCCATGGCGGCCTGGCGCTGCGCGAGGGGCACGGCGGCCCATCGGGAGGCGGCGGAGGCGGCGGAGTCGAGGGTGGTGGTGACGGCGGCGGGGGAGGGATAGTCACGCGTGTAGACGGGCTGCTGGGTGGCGGGGCTGATCGTGGTCTGGGTGGTCTCGCTAAAGGCCATGGTGGTGGATCGATGCAGAGTGACGATAGGCGCGTGTGCTGTCCGCGGAGTCCGAGGAAGGAGCCGGATTCGGAATAGGGGCTCTTGAACACCTCCGAGCTGGTGCGCAGTGAGTTCTGATTGGGCTGCGATACATACGACCTATTGCATAGTACAGCTGCTACGGCCCAAATGGCTTGTTGTTTCCGGATTACGGTGTGTATATACATCCAAGATACGGACTGGAACAGTGCGTGCTGCTTTTGCGGCTGAATGATGCGTCTGAATCTTTCACCTCAGGCTGCTCGCCTGTGCCATCGCCGCAAGTTTTTTCGCGCCACTTGGCGCGGCCCCCGTCCCTCTCCGTCTCCGTACTCACCCCACTGATATGTTGTATGTCGGTCGAGATGAGTTGCAAAGGGCGCGTGTAGCGCATAAGCGGCATCTCGCAGGTGGTGGCGGCAAACATGGTGATGGGGGCTGGTCCCGCGGAGCCCTCGGACAGTCGCGTGATGTGTGAATTCGGAATAGGGGCTTGCGTATAGACGCGCGATGACGATCGAGCGCACAACCAACGCGATGCCGACCTTTGCACAGACGCTGCTGCAGCGCAATGTACCTGCCCTCCACATCCCGGTGACCGACACCCCGCCTGGCACACCGGCGACGTCAAACACGCGCGCCCACAATGATGACGCGCCGGTGACGCCGGTGTCCGTCGCGCCCACACCCTCCGGCGCGCAACCGCACGACCGCCGGGCCCTCGAGCGCACGCTCTCCACCATCCGCCCAGTCCAGCCGCGGTTTGTTGATGGCGCGCCTACGAAGCCAGAGCGGCGCGAGTACGATGACGTCCGTCTTTCATCTTCCCCATTGTCCGTCCCCCACTCACCCGCCCTCTAGTCGCCCTCCGCCTCCCCCACTGCAACCGCCACCGCAGCCCCGGGACGAATACGGCGCGCATATGCTACCACCTGCGACTTTCTCTCCGCCACCCTCAGCCCTTACGACCCCTCCCTCGTGCTCGAAAACTCTGGCTCCGTCGCCCGCGACCACCTCGCCAACGAGCGCACCTTTCTCGCATATACCCGCACCAGCCTCGTCATTGCCTCCACCGGCGTTGCACTAGTCCAGCTGTTTACGATATCGGCGAATACGAATGCGGCTAATGGTACGTGCGCGCCGTCCTCGCCTGCCCCTTCCATACGCTGCCTACAAGTTCCCGACGTCCAATACCCGTCCGGAACTCACCACTGCATGCCCTTCGGGCAGTCACTACGAATGCGCATCGGACAACGCGCTTTTGTCGGCACTCGTTTCTTC